GCAGGACCCGTTAAGGAGTTCGGCCCCTGGCCAAAAGTCCCCTCCCTGGCTGGTCCCCGCAGGGACCTATTTTGGGCAGGAATGAGGAAGCTCTTCATTCCCCTGCTAAAAATAGGGACCTTTCTCAGCGGCGGGTCACCGCGTTCACACTGGAGCGCGGGGCTGACGGGGCGGCAGGCAGGAAGCGGGGAGGCCCGTAAGCCCCCTCCCACCGCCTCCGCTCCCCCGCGGCGCCGGGCCGGGGTCCCTGCCTTGTCCCGGGGCAAGCCCGCGCCCGCCGGGGTGGCCCTCGCGGCAACGGGACCCTCACGCCCCGCAGGGCGTCGGCCCCCGCCGTCGCCCCGCAGGGAGCCCGGGCCCCTCAGCCGGGGGGTTGCTCCGCCGGCCCCGCTCCCCTCCGGAGGGTTTGGGGAGGCTGCGCGGGGGACTGTCGCTAAGGGACGCCGATGCCTCCATCTAGTGGCTACCGTTGGCCCTGCTGCCGCGGGCGGTGGCCCACCCACGGCCCCTCCCGGCCGGCTCCCGCGGGCCCCCAGCACCCCGGGAGCAGCCTCCCAGAGGGGTGCCGGCACCCCGGCAAGGACCTGGCGCGCAGGCAACGGGCGCACACGCAGCAGGCACACGCGTGGCTGAGTGAGCCCTTTATTGAGGGTATGGTCGAGGACCCGTTTACTGAGGGTGAAGGAGGCACCGGGGCGGCCGGAGGGCAGGGAGCGGGGGTGACGGCAAGGGCGGCTGCTAGCCCTGGGGCATGCCAGGGTCGCGGCGGGACCGGGACGGGCCCCTTGCCACGCCAGCGGCCAGGCAGCCCGGGCTCGCTCGGCGCGTGGGGACAAGCTGGCAGCACGGGCCGGGACGCCGTGCCCATGCTGGCGGGGCTACGCTGAGTGCCAAGGCGGCTATGGCGAGTAACATACGACATCCAGGTTATTGTGGCTCCCCGGCGCGGGCCTCTTGCCCCAGAGCTGGGTGCCTGAGATAATACTTAGCTCTTATGCAGCGCTGCTGAAGGGATGCTCCCTGGCACCCCCGGGGTGGCAGAGGGGCTGTATTCCTGCCCTGCGCTGGGTGGCAGCAATGGAGCGGGGCAGGGGTCCCAGTGTCCCGGCTCCCACGCGGCCGGATCCCAGCCCTGCTCTTCCCAGGGTGCTGGTGGCTGGGAAGGGGCACGTGCCCTGGCCCCGGCCACAGCCGAGGGCAGGCTCAGGCGAAGACAGCGGAGTTTTGCCAGTAGGAGTAGACGAGGAAGCCAGTAAAGGTGCTGTCTGTCTTGACGCTGGCGTAGAAGCCGATGTAGTCCCCCACGCCCACTTGCACCCACACCTCGTCCTCAGGCTCCAGGCGGACCAGGGCCCCCCCTGAAAGTGAGGTGGGCTTGGGCCAGTTCCCGTAGTACTGGAAGAAGGAGGCGATGGACTGGCCGTTCTTCATGATGTCAAACTGGAGGCTGGCACGGTAGACAGTGGCATGGACAGCGAAGTAATAGAGGCCGGGCACCTCGCAGGTGAACTTGCCTGTGGCGGGGTCATAGTGGCCCTGCTCGTTGATAAGCACCACGTCGAAGCGGATGGGCTGGTCGGCCAGTGGTGGGCTGCGCGACTCGGAGCGCTTGGCGCTGAAGGCCGAGCGGGGGGCCACTGCGCACTCACCCTGCGCCCCCTTCTCACCGTGCATGCCATCCACGCCGGGGTTGCCCACCTCCCCGCGGGGACCGGGTGCTCCTGGGGCAGGCAGGAGGGGGACAGGGTTACCTCTAAGCCACCACCACCAGCATGGCCCCCTGCCCAGCCCCAATCCCACCAGGTTTACAAGCCTCCCACAGGATGCGGATGGTGAATACCCGCTGTGGCCAGTGCTCTGCCTGGGGAAGCAGCTCAAGCAGGGAGGGCTAGGTGCATGTGGCAAGCGGGCACAGTGGAAACAGAGAGTTGGAGAAACCCCCACATGCTGGGAGAGACCCCAGCCCAGGAGCCAGGGCGGGTGTGATGCAGCCGTGTTCTGGGGACAGCTTGGTGGGCCCTCCTAAAGCGGGAGGTGGCAGAGTAGGATGGCAGCAAGGATGGGGAGAAACGCAGCTTTGCCATTGATGGGGAGCTGCTGCTTGTTGCAGTAGCACAGGGTCACAGGCAGGACCGGAGGGGCGGTGGTGGCATGAAAGGGGCACGTTTGCAGGATTTGTTCTTGGTTTGGCAATGTGGGGCTGTGCCAGCACCCAGGGTTCACCCCCTGGCATGAGGGCTTTCCCCACAGGCAGGGCAGAGCAGGTCCCCCTCCCTGGCCAGGATGTCTCCTTTCTTACCAGGAGGGCCCATCTCGCCCTTCTCCCCCGGCATCCCCATCGCCCCGTCCCGGCCGTCTCGTCCATCTCTGCCCGGCAGACCTTGGCCCCCATGCAGGCCTGGGGTTCCTGGGATGCCTGGCTGCCCTGAGCACAGCCCAGGGATCTTGTTGTCTTCAATCTGCAAGGAGCTGGTGATGAGCCCGAGGAAGAAGAGGAGGAAGAGCTGCTTCATCTTGTCTGTCGTGGAGCAGCTGGAAGGGGGTAGAAAAGGGTAATGGCTCTGGAGACCTCAGTGAAGAGGGCTGGGAAACGGGCTTGCAGTGCTTGGCTGGGAGCGGGTGCAGGGAGTTCACGGAGTTCCTCCCTTCTTTCCCCTTTGCCTTTCCGGCTGCTCCCCACAGCAAGGCCTAACTGCTGGTCGCACCTGCTGCTGCATCCCCATTGCCAGATGTGCCACCCCATCGTCCCACAGCCCACTGGCATGCCCTGCCATGGGACAGCTCATGGGGGTGCCAGGGCGAGGGAGCTGGTGTGGGAGCTGCGGCACGTGCGGGAGGCAGGAGCTCTGGGTGTGTGGTTGGGGGACGTTTGGGGTGGGAGCTGCTACATCGGTGGCGTGCCTGGCTACGGGTGTGCGTGGGGGTGCTGGCAAGGGACATCTGGAGTGACAGCTGGAGGATGGCAGGCGAGCTGCGAGTCGTGCGTGGGGTGGGGGTTATTGCATCCGGGCAGTGCGTGGCAGGGCAGCAGCTCAGGGAACGCGGGGCTGCGTCACGACCCGGCCCTTGGCAGCATCCCTGCTGCCGGCGGCTTTGCTCTACTCCTGGCCGGCTGGCTGGGGCACGGCTGGCTGGGGCTGCAGCATCCCCGGCTGTGCCAGACCACCACGGTGCTGGGGATCACCCTGCTGCCCAAGCTGCCCCCAGACCTTCCCACATCAGCGCAGCGAGAGCGGAGCCCCGCAGCTGGCGCTGGCCCCCTCCCTGTGGCCTTGCCCTGGGAAAGCTGCTCTCTTCCCCCTCCTGGACGCGACAGCTGCAACAAAGAGGAAAAGGAGGAGAAAAGTGTCTCTCCTCCGCCCAGGCACCAGAGCGAGGACCCCAGTGAGTCCCAGCTCCCCCCGGCATGGGGCAGACAGAGCTGGGTATCCCCACTCACTGCGATCCCGCGGCTCCTGCCCCGGCGCCTCGCTGCTCTCTGGCGTGGAAAGGCTGCGGCTCTTCCTGACCACTTCGCGCTGACGAAGGCCCTAGGAAAGGCAGCCTCTCCACCCCACCCCCTCTCCTCCTCACGTCTCTCCTCCCAAACTCCAAAGGAAATCAAGGGCCTTGGGAGCCAAAAGCTACAAGACAAGGGGAAAAAGAAAAATAATCCCATGGTGTCAGAAGTGCTGTAAGCAGGGGGAAGGGAGCGCAAGACAGTCTGACAAAGGGAGAGGAGGCATGGGCTGCAAACCACCTCGGCTGAACACATCTGGGCATGGGTGGGCAGCAGGACGGAGGGAAGGGAAACAAGAGGAAACAGGCAGCAGAGAGAAAGCTGAACAAGGGAAAGGCCAAGGGAGGGAAACCCAGCAAAGGCAGGCAGGGTTGGAGCAGCAGAAGGAAGAGGGAGCCCTCGGGGCTGCCCCTGGCAGCGGGGCTGTGGCAAGGAGGGTGGCAGTGCACACACAGGCTGGCAGTGCCAACTCTGGGATCACTTGCGGGGAGCTGCAGGAGCCAGCTTGGGGGTGCCAGGCAGGTGGCAGTGAAGGCAGGGCAGCGCTGTGGCCATGCCGGGAAGCGGGGCTAGCCCTGGGGACCGCGGAGCATGCAGCAAAGCTTTCAAAGGCACTCCCAGCTTCCCTTTAAACTTGCTCCAGCACCGAGTGCATCCAAGGGACACCGTCAGACTCTGAGCGGTGGGGCGGTCCTGGGACTGGGGGGAGTCCCCATGCTCTGCAGCCAGCTTCCAGCAGCTGGGACATGCAGGGAGCGACGGAGCTGAGCGCGGGAATAGTGGTACCATACTGGCTGCAAGGGCAGAGTGGTGCTGACCCGAGTGGCTCTTGCTCCCAGTAGCCCCAGCCGGGCAGGGGATTTTCCCATGCACTCTGGCTGGGTGAGGGCAGTGGGAAGCATGCTGGTACTGTTGGCTTTCTGCTCCCTGTGCCAGTTCCCTCAAGGGTATGGGTGATATTGCAGGCTGAGCCTTCCTGCCCCGTATGTCTGGGGCCAGGCTGAGTGCTGGCAGGGAGCTTCCTGGGTCCTCTCTCCCAAGGTGTGAAGAGGCTGTTGGTTTTGGCCAGTTGGGAGCTGGTTTGTGGCCACAGGGTGTTGCCAAGCCTGTGGCCACCAGGGTGGCCTGAAGCCAGCACAGACAGTGCAACCAGCAGGGCCACAGTCCTTGATGGGGCAGGATCCTGTCCCTGTACCATGGGCTGCCAGCCTGACCTACTCTGAGACCCATCCACCTCCCTGGGGCCCTGCTAGCCCCCCCAGCCCATTGAGGGCCCAGACAGTAGCCCAATCCTTGCTGCAGACAGGCAGTCTCCCCTGTGCCTCTCCATTCCTGCTCAGACCCTCCACCCTGGTGCTGGCTTCCCTCCCTTGGATCATGCCTCAGAGTCCCCTAGGATCTGGCAGGACCCACACACAGACCCTTCCCAAATGAGCCATGTTTCATCAGGTTTGTCAGCTGCTCATACTGTTTATTCTGCTGGCTTTGGGGCTGTGGGAAATGGGCAGCCCTGGGCTCTTCTGCCTGCAGCCTGGCTCACCTCAATGCAACCTTGCTCCATTTGGGGAGCATTAACTCTTCCCCTGCTAGGCTAGTAGCTGCCCGAGGGCTGTGGGAAAGAGGTTGTGCACAGTCTGGAGAGGCTGAAAGGGAGAAGTGGGCTGGGAACCATGCATAGCTCTGGTCAACATACCTGGGATTGGCTGAGGATGGGGAGGTAGCGCCCGACCCTCTTGCCACTGTCTTGCTGCTCGGCAGGGGGACTTTGCACAGTGTCCCCAGCACAGCTCCAACCTGTGGGCACAACTCCTCCAGCACAAGCCTTTCCTTGTAGCAAGGATGAGAAGGGGCACCTGCTCTGTAGGGACTTGGTCCTGTAGGCAAGCGTATGGCATGCAAGCACTGAGCTGAGCACTGAGCAGAGGGGCTGACCTCAGGGCAGGTGAGGAGCCAGGCAATGGGGTGCTGCTGATGGGGGCCACCACAGCAGCTGGGCATTTGCAACAGGAGGAGGATGAGAGGGACATTTGGGGTGGGGGAGCAGCTCTGGGCAGGCTGCTTCAGACTCTGCTCCTCTTCTCTTGCTGGGTCAGGGCTGGAAGCACTCTATGGGGTCATTTGAGTCAGGCAGGATATTGCAGTTGATGGGCCAGAGAATGCCGAGGAGGCCAAGGGACTGCTGGCACTGCAGCTCAGCAGCCAAGCACACAGCTTGGCAGGGCTGCAGGACACCCCCGTCTGGGACACACTTGGGCACGAAGAGGCTGCAGATAAGGAGGCGGAGGTGCTGGTAGCAGGTGAGCTCCATCAGCATCTGCAGGAGAGTGGCAGTGAGCGTGGCACAGCAGGCAGACCCATGTACAACCCCCAGATGACTCACCTGGTAGTCCTGCAGCACTTCAGAGGCTCCCTCCTGGTCTGGGATGGCCAGCCAGATGTTGGGGAAAGAGGTGGCATTGTAGCCCAGCCCCAGGCACATCTCCACTTCCACGGGCTCACAGACAGACCCTGCCACAGGACAAGGTGCTTCAATTTTTATAGCAGCAGTGATGCCCACCAGGTGTGCCTCGGGCAGATGTTAGCCGTGGGGCAGCTGCCAGCTTGTCTCCCAGGCCAGGAGGGCTTGGGGGGGCTGAGTGCTAAGTGGGGTGGCACTCACTGAAGGCTGGATAGGAGATTCCAGTGCAGTTCAGCTCGTCGGTGCCGTCAGGGCAGTCGTGCCAGCCGTCACACACAGACTCCAGCACCCGGCACTCACCATTTGCGCAGGAGAATTCTGTGGGGCTGCAGGTCTCTGTAAGGTGAGAGGAGCCAGCACAGCAGGGTATGGGCTTGGGCACAGGCAGAGAGCAGGCTGGCCATGGCTGGGAGTCAGCCTGTTTCCATGCTGACCACCCCGGTCTCCACTCTTCTTGGTCACTGGCCAGGGATCATCCAGGTGAGTGGTCGCAGAGCACTGCCACCTGGCACCTGTGGCTGATATATGACTATTGACGGCCCATCTTAGGGGGATCCCAAATTCCCTGGGTTATTTGGGGGGCAGCCGTCAGGGGATGGATTGTGCCTCTCTGCAGGTGATCCCTGCTAGGCCACATTCCCATGGCTAGGATGAATAGGGCTGTAGGGTAATTTAGGTGAGAAGAAACCCCAGGGGCCTGTAGTCCAACCTCCTACTTCAAGCAGGGTCAGCTTTGGGGTGAGAGCAGTTCTTTCCAGGGCTTTATCCAGTCTGCCTCGAACACCCCCAAGGACAGTGACTGCACAGGCCCCCTGATCAGCCTAGCCCCCTGCTTGGCTACCTACTCTCTGTGGCATTGTGGGCTTGGTAGGTGGCGAAGAACCCATCGTCTGCTACTCCCTCGTCTGCCACGAAAAGGATGGTCATGACATGGCGTGAAGAGGTCAGGGTGGGTGGCAGCTGGTGGCCGCAGAACCTGCCGGTGCCATGGGGTTGAGGGACGGAGTCAGGGTGGGCAGGGGGGCCAACCGGCACCTCCCCATACCCTGTCCTCCAGCAGCTCCTCCTCACCAGCCTGCCCTGTGCTTCAGTTTCCCCAGCTGAGCCACAGGAGCCCAGTGTACCCAGACTGGTGCAGCAAGGGCCGGAGATATCAGGGCTGTGTCTGTACCTGCCCATGAGGCTGGCGGCCCCTGTGCCTGCGCTGTCGTGCACCTCCACGAAGTCGAAGCTGCAGTCCTCATGTGACTCCAGGCTGAAGTTGTGGAAGTGCAGGTCGATGACATGGCCCATGGGCACTGAGATCTGCCAGAGGCACAGCTGCAGGGCAGGGGGGCACCCATGAAACCAGGCAAGGGCACCCCCAGCTCTCCCTGGTGAGAGGTTGCCTTCCTCCCTGCCCACCCTCACCCTGCTCCCTCCTCCATCTTGCTGTCATCCCTTCTCTCACCTGCTGGTGCGGGTATGGCTGGGGATGGCTCGGGGTGGAGAAGTGCCCCTCCAAGGCAGTCAGCACCCCCCCGCACTCTGGAGGGACACACACACATGCAGCTTTACCCTGTGCCCCTCTCCCTTCACTCCATCTCCCTGCTCCCCCACTCCTGCCTCCCACTGCCCATTGCCGTGCCCTCTACCTGGGTGCCACGGGGGCTGTGGGCTGCAGGTGGGGGGGCTGACCCACCTTTGTGTTTCAGGCTGCAGTTGGCCTCGTCGCTCTTGTCCGTGCAGTCGTGGAAGCCATCACAGATGAAGCCCAGGTGGAGGCAGAGCCCCTGGTCACAGAAGTGCTCATCCCAGGCACAGCTCTCTGCGGTGCAGGCAGAGGCAGTCAGGCTGGTGGTGGCATCCCCCTGACCCAGCGCCCTGGGTGTTATGGGAGACCCTCCAGCACTACCCACTGCCTGCCTGCAGTGAGGAGTTCTGGTAGTGACCGGGGACAGAGGTACTCACTCTCACTGGGGTCCACGGCACGGTAGTGGGCACTGAAGCCCTGAGCACCCACACTGCTGTCAGAAACGAAGGTGACACGCAGGTGGTTGGAGTTGGTGTTGAAGGTTGGGGGGGCCACGTTGCCGCAAAACCTGTGGGCACAACAAGGGGCGACGCTGCCCATCCCCAGAGTTGCCGCCCCTTCCCCACTGTACCACCAGGCTCCCTGGGTGTGAGGGGTCCTACCTGGTTGGGCTGCCCCGAGCTGGGGCAGGATCCACCCCACCAACCCCCTGCTCTTCATAGAGCTCCACACGGTCGAAGAGGCAGGAGGCAGTGCCCTCCACGCTGAATGTCTCCATCTTCAGCTGGATGGTGAGGCCAGAGCCCACTTCGATGTGCCAGATGCAGAGTGTGTCGGGCGGGTAGGAGCCGGGGTAGTTGGGAGAGCTGAAGGAGCCCTCGGGGCCATGCAGAGTCCCGCCACAAGCTGCACAGGGCAGCAGTGTGGGCATGAGCTAGCGCTGCAGGGCACCACCATCCTGGCACACCGCCCCACACGGGACTTACCTGGTGCTGCTGTGCCGGCTGTGGGCAGCCAGCTCTGGGTTGGGGTGGCAGCTGTTTTGGGTGCTGGTGGGTCCCTTCGGGTGGTGTCAGTGCCACGGGCGGGCAGGGCTGTGGCTGGGGTGCCGGGTGGCTGCAGGGACATCAACTCTGTGCCCAGGGAAGAGCAGGGACAGCTCAGACCCAGCTGGGAGAAATGGCTGTAGTGCAGGGAAGGAGCTTAGGAAGCCTACCCAGCCCCATGTCCTGTGCTCCCACCCTACCCCACATAGGTGTGGATCCCAGGGAATCCCACACAGCTCTCAGGGCCCAGCAACCTTGCCACATCCCAGGGAGGTGGAGATCCCTCTTGCTGCTGTGCATGGGGCTCTCTCTTCCCACAACGGGAAGACCCTGGGAGGTCCTGTGTAGGATGAATGCCCCCTCTGTGCCCCTCTCCCCCTCTGAGCCAGTTCCATGTCCCCCACCCCACGGTCACAGCTTGTCCCCCAGCCCTCCTTGCTCCGGCACTCACGGTGGATGACAATGCCCATCAGGAGGGCGATGAGGAAGAGGAGGACGGCGCTCATCAGAGCCACACAGAGCCAGGTGAACTTGCAGTCGGCGCGGTACTGCCAGCCTGCCTGGCCCCAGAGCTGCTGGCCTGCAGGAAAGTGAGGCAAGTGGGCAGAGATGGGGTGCTGCTAGCTATACCCCCACAGTGTCACCTTCCTGCACCGCTGGCTGAGCCCCGGCTGGGCACATCCCGACCTCTGGTCCTCAGGGTCCTAGCAGGTCCCCTGAGCAGCCCCAGAGCCCTGCAGGGAACTTGCCCCACCACCCCACGCCCAGACCTGCAGCTGCTCCTGGCAGGGCTGTGGCCAGCGGCATTGTACAAACCCCCAGGCTGATACCGAGGCCATCCCAAGGGGTCGCGGGGCTGGTCCTAGCCTCATCTGGTGTGTGCTCGGTGCTTGGTGCTGCCTGGGGCTCTTCACCCTCGAAGACGGGGTTGCAGAACTCGGTCTGCAGGAGAGTGAGCGCGGTTGGCACCGCAGGGAGCATGCTGTGGGGACCCACGGGTGGCTAGGTGGGGATCCTAGGTGGCACCCATACCCCCAGCCTTACCTTGCTGTGGTCCAGAGCCTCGGGGCAAAGCGTGATTTCGGTGAAGTCTTTCATGGCGACAAGCAATTCCCAGCACAACCTGGCTAAAAGCCTCCCCAGCGTGTTCCAGCCCCCAGCACAGCTGCCTGCCCCACCACCCACTCCTCCTTGGCTGCCCCCATTGGCCCCAGGGCTGTGTGGGGACCCCCGCTCCACGCACCGGGGCAGAGGCAGTGCCAGCTGTGCCTACACGTGCCGCCCCAGTGCTGGACCCCACAGAACCTTGAGGGCCATGCCTGCCACACTGCAAGTACGGGGAGCCCTGGGGAGGCCAGCAGCCCCAGTCCCCTCTGCAGGCCCCTTCCCCCTCGTCCTGTTAATCCAGCTCAGCTGAGGATGCCGAGGTCAGGCTCTGGCAGAGAGAACCAGCGTCTTAAAGGGGAAGGTGTGCTCGCACCCACCCCACTGGGGGACTGTCTTGCAGGGGGACCCTGCTTTTGCATGCACAAAGGCACCGCTGGTTTGCCAGCTGCTGCTGGGCTCCCCACTAGCATGAGGCAGCACTGAAGGGCCTGCGTTGGGGAGCCCAGGCTGAACGTGTCCCTCCTTCCCCCACGCCTCCCCGGCCCTGGGTGCCTGAGCCCCAGCACCTGCATTCCTGCTGCCCCTTAATGCCTCAGTGCCCGTCTCCATCCCTAAGCAGGGGAGAAAGGGGCCATTGTTCAGGGGCTTTGGGGGAAAAGCATGGGCACCGGGGAGCTCCACAGGGCTGAAGTAGGAGGAAAGGCTCCCTCTGCTTCCGGGCATCGTGGGTGGCTGGAGGAGAGGGACTGTCACTTGCGCCCACCTCTCCCTTGCTCCAGGCAAGCCCTGGGGCACGGGTGCTCCTGGAGCCGAACAGGGGCAGGCTGCTTGGGCACCACTGGCAGTTTCCCTCCCGCTGCTGGAGCCAGTCCTTCATCTGCCCGCCCAGAGACAAGCAGAGGTACACAGCATTCCGTTCAAGCTAAAATTTATTCCTGCATGAGTCTCCCTTGTACGAGACACTTCCCGTCCATCTTGCTTACACAGTAAACAAGCCACCTGCCAAGCAGCAACGCTGCCCCAGTTCGGTACCTGCGGTGGGCAGCTCCTCCATCCTGGCCTGCCCTCCCCCAAGCCCTGCTGGGATGCCCTGGGCTGGGCAGGATGCTCATGGCACAAGAGTGCTGAGCCTGTGCCCGCAGGGCCAGCAAGGGCGAAGCAGGACGGGTTGCTGGGTTGGATGTAGCTGCCTTGTGGGCTGGGGCTGGGGTTGTGCTCAGTCGGGCCCATCTCTCCTCCCACTGCGCCTCAGACAAGGCAGGATGGGGAAGAGAATAAATTAGAGAAAAGGCTAAAAAGGCCACTGGCGTTTGCTAGCTGGAGGACAGAGCAGCAGGGCAGGTGGGGACATGCATCCCTGGGCACCCACGGGGGCTCCTGATCACAGGGAGAAGAAAGCCCCAACTGCAGATGGTCCCAAAAAGCCACTGTCCTCCCCTTCCTCTCCTCCGCAGGATGGACATTCCTGTGCAACCCCAGTGGCCTCCCGCTCCCCTAAATGGTTTAAGGCACCGTCGTATGAGGAGGCAGGTAAAAACCTACCCAAAGCATCCCCTGGCACAAGTCCCTGGAGAGCCAGGAAGCGCGGGGATGCTCCAGGTTAAGTGAAGTCCACTATAAATACATATACATTTCACAAAATGTTTTCCTCTCTCCTGTCCGTGAGTCTGGAACTGAACTCAGGCTGCTTTGAGGAGTGTGCATGGGGCAGCTGGTGGGGATGCGCTGCCTGAGATGGGACGGAGGTAACTGAAGAGCTGGGGTCCTTTGCCAGGAGGTTCAGAAGTGCTAGGAGGAGGCCAGAGCAGTTCATGAATCCTCTGGGACAGCCAAGCAGAATGGGAATGCCAAGAGACCAGGAGGGATGTGCAAGGCTTTCCTGGGTCCTCATCTCTGGGTGCTCCCCCAGGGGAGCAGAGGTCCTGGCTGAGTCAATGGGGCTGGCAGCCCTATGCCCCCAGAGTCCCTTGCTCAGTATTTTTATTACACACCAACAAAAAAAAAAAAAAAAAAAAAAAAGCGCAACTAAAACGTACCCCACTGTGAAAACCAAATGCCAGCGACCAGGAGGTGCCTGAGCTGCCTGGGCCCTGCCCTGCTGCGGACTGCCCTCCTCAGTTCAGAGCTGGGGTGTCCTTGCCTGAGGTCTGCTCCTGGCTGCCTCCAGCCTCCCGCTGCTGAGCTCTCTCCTCTTCACCTCCCTCTTCCACCTGGGGGGCAAATGGCCGAAACCTGGAGGGGCTGGCTCTGAGGGGTGGCGCAGGGAGTCCCCAGGGAGGCAGGGCTAGCTACATGCGGGAGGATGGGCTGGCCAGCTCATAGAAGAGAAGGTAGGCATCGCTGCTGCGGACGTGGCTGGATGACATCGGGGTAACACTGCAGAGATGGGGAGATGTGCCATGAGCAATAGGGATGAGTCACCAGGATGCCCTGGGCAGGGTGTTCCTGATTGCCTCGACCCTGCAGCCGCCCCTGTCCCGCATGCAGCCTCACCGGGAGTCGTTGAAACTGTGCCACTCGCTGGAGATAGGACTCTTGCAGTAGGCAGTGTAGTGTCCCCCCATGGTGGTGCCCGAGTGGTTGGAGACAGCGTAGAGGTTGTAAATGGTGTGATCTGTGGGCAGCAAGGGTGGTGCTCAGCCATGCTGGCTGCTGCCCCACTGCCCCCCAACATGCCAGCATGGAGCTGGGGCCAGATGGGATTGGCACCCTGGATATCTGTGGTTCCCACCCCCCCGTGCCTCTGCCCCCTGCTACAAGCTGCTGCACCCTGGGGGGTAGGAGGGACCCAGCCGGGAGCTGCTGGGAGCCCAGGGCTGGGCTGGAGCTACGCAGGGCCCTGCACTCACTGCAGCTCTGCGAGGCAAACTCCCGGAGGTCCAGGTCCTTCAGCTGGAAGTTGACAAAGGTGGTGAGCTTGCTCGTTCGTATCCTGGCCTCTGAGAAGCGCTTCAGGTCTGGGGTGTTATGTCAAGGAGACGAGGGACAAAGTGAAGCCTGTGAGGAACCGCCTGCCCCACCCAGCACCCCATCCCTGTCCCTTTGCCTGAAAGATACGAAGCACCAGGATCTTAGGGAACTTCTGGATGCTGAATTTTTTTGTGCACCTTGTCCTGGCTTTGCAGCGACAACATGTCTGTGGGAGACAAATGGCACAAGCCGGAGGGTGAGGGCAGAGGCCAGCCCCACTGGGCACTGAGCCCACAGTCCTAGCAACATAGGCATGGAGGGAAAGGGGCCCAGCCTGCACCAGGACAAGCCCACCTACTCGTGTACCCCCATGCCCCGTACCGGTTTCTCATCCCCATCCAGCACATCCTCTTTGGTGAAGAGTCGTAGGCAGTCCATAAGGGTCACCTCCCCGTAGCCTTTCTGTGGGAGCACAGGATGGGTCAGGGACAAGGGTGTGTGGGGCAGGGGTCTGGGGGCCGGAAGGGACCCCTTACCTTGGGAATGGGCAGGGACAGGTCCCAGAAAGGGTCAAAGGCTGTGGAGCAGTAGCCACACTCGCTGCAGGTCAGTGAACTCTTCAGCTGCCCAACAAAGAGGTCTGGTGGGAATGGGACAAAGCAGGGTGAGACACCCAGTTCCCAGCCCTACACCCAGCAGAGCCCTGCCCTCCTCTCCCCACAGCCCTGCTCACCACTAATGCGGCTGTCCTCCCTCTCCTGGTACCTCCTCCACATCTGGCGGCTCTTCTCATCATCACTGCCAGAGACAGGGACTACTGAGTACTGAGTGTGGCCTCGGGGATGCCAGCCCAGAGGGACCTGCATGGTCACTGTCCCTGGGCCAGGCTTGAAGGCAATGAGTTCATCTGTGGGGCTCGTCCACTGCCTCCGTCCTAGCCAACACTTACGGGAGGTGGTCCAGGGTGTCTGTGCTGGCCCGTGGCCGCACCAGCACACGGTTCACCTCGCTGTGCAGCCCATCAAGGAGGAACCGCAGGAACTCCTGTGCGTCCTGCTGGCTGCAAGACACAGGGAACAGCCAGTGAGCTGCAGCAGAGGCTCAGCTCCCCCACTGCCATCCCCACACCAACACCCCTTACTTGTAGCCGACAAAGCGGGGGGCATATCTCTGGATCTGCGTCTTGAACTCAGAGGGGCTCACACTCTCATTGGGGGATGAGGTCCAGAGCAGCTGAATCAGCTTTGCAAACTCTGTGGGCAGAAAGGCGGGTCAGTAGCACAGCTGGCCCTGGCCAGCTCTGGTGGCATGGCATTGCCATGCCCTGCAGGGGAGAGCTCAGCACCCCGCTCCGGGGTCCCCACGGACGGCCCCAGCCCCTCTGGAGAGGGGACCCGATCCTCCCGCTAGTTGGACACCCACAGCACAGAGCCTGCCCCAGCAACGCCGGGGAGAAGCACCGACCTCTGGGTGGGGGTCCCCCAGAATATGGGGTGGCCCAGGGGAGCAAGGACATGCTGTGGGGAAGCCCCACAGGGTGCGGAGCCAGGGGCTGGTGAGTGACAGTTACCTGACATGAGCGCAGTACGCATGCGGCTGTTGTTGTTGAGGTCTCGCAGGTAGTGGTTCTGCAGGCAGTAATCCCGCAGCTCCTTGGTGTTGCTCAGGCACTGCAGGATGGAGTTCATGAAGCACTGGGGGAGGCAGAAGAGAAAACCATGGCAACGGGAGGCAGAGGGAGGCAGGCGGTGGCAGGGGGACACCTGGGGTGGGTGGGTAGAGGGTAGGGACAAAGCACTGCAGAGCATGGGAACCTCCATGGGAACCTCTTCCTCAGCCAGCACCATCAGGAGCAGGGTGCAGGGAGCTGCTGAGGCAAAAGCGTTGGTGCTGGGGGCAAGGTGAAGGGACAGGGCTCCCCACTGCCCCACAGATGTGCCCACAGAAGTGAATCACACAGTGTGCCACAGTGTGAGCTGGGGTTGCGCAGCTGGGTACTTGGGTAAGCACTCACCGTATTGCCAAGATTTCGCAGGCCGGTCAGTCCCTGCACTGCCTTGGAGCTCTGCAGAGAGAGGGAACAGGGCTGAGACAGTGTCCAGCACGGGCCGGTCGTGCCTGTGGGTAGCCCAGTGAGGCCGTGATGCCACGGGCATCCAGGTGGAGCAGATCCTCAAGTGCAAACAGAGGCCCCATCCCCCTGTGGGCATCACAGACAGAGCCAGCGCTGCAGCTGCTCTCTGCACTGGCTGCACACAGGACTGTGGCTGAGGACCCGTTGGGAAGCCATGGCCGGCCTGCCCCATCCTGCTTACCTGGCTGCTGCTGCTTGGCTCCCTGGCCCAGAACAACACTCAGGGCTCAAAGTTCTCCTGGTGACACTGCTGCCCTGTGCCCTGGGCTGCAGGCCAGGCCAGCCTCCCCCTGCCAGCCCTGTGCCCCAGGAGGCTGGGGGGTGGCAGTGCCCCGTGCCTGCTATACAGCTGCAGGAGGTGCACAGCGCTCCGACACTGCCCGCCTCGTCCACACTGGGTGTCCCCTCCAGGACTGCAGCCAAGACTTTGGCACAGCTGTTTTGCAGGATAAAGTCCACCGGGGAAAGTGCAAGCCCAGCCCTGCAGCAGTCAGCTTGGGTGCTGGTGGGGACAAATGGTGGGAGCCCAGGAACCCTGCTCCCAGCCCTGACTGTGAACTCAGTGCAGAGGGTAGTGGAGGGGCAAACCTCCCCAGAGCTGTGCCCGGAGCAGGGTGAGGGGCTGATAGGGCTTGCAGAGTCACACTGCTGATCATGCCCCACCAGATGACCAGGTTTTAAGGATCCTCAGGCAAATGCCCCAGCTGCCCACCCCAGGAGTGAGGAGGGGGAGGAGGAGAGGAGGGGAGGGGGCCCAGCAGCTCTGAAATAGCAGCAGCTGGTGTGTGTGTGGGAGGTGCTGAGCACCCAGCCCTGACAGCAGCCCAAAATAACCCAGATCCAGTTACACGTGCTCCTTAGCGACGGTGCAGGCATCACCCACCGCAGGGGGGACCAGCACCAGTGGGGACTCAGCCGCCCTGTGTGGGCATACACGGCTCTGACGGACCGACCGGGTACCCTGTGTGCCACGCGAGTGCCCCTGCAGTGCCCAGAGCACAAGGGTGTCCCCAGCCATGCCTGGCCGCGGCGCATAGTGCTGGAGGGTGGCTGTGCAAAATTGCCAGGCAACCCCACCACCTATACCTGGGCAGGGAGCCCCAGGCCGGGGCCAGGCTCAGCTGGGCAAGGGGTGCCAGCAGGCTGTGGCAGGTCAGTGCCACCCCATGGTTTGAGGAGCTGGCCTGGCTCTGGTCCCTGAGCAGACAGGGCCCAGCTGACAGCAGGAAAGGTGGCTCTGTGTCCCAACAGCCTACATCCCTTGAAGAGGCTGACCCCTAAAGGGCTTGCTGCTTGTGTCCCCACGCCTATTGCAGGGAAGGTCACGGTACCAGGGAGAATAGCAGCAACTCCTGGGAGGTACCCCAGTATGCCCCAGCCATCCTCACCAGGACGCTGCTTGTCTAGTTGCCCTGGTTGGGCAGCTCCCACCATGTGCCAGGAGGGAGCCGGGTGTCCGACGAATGTGGGTGCAAACCTCCCCATGGACCTGGCATTCACCCACTGCCTGGCCAGGCCAGGCCCTAGGCTGCCCTCCCAGAGCCTGGAGCAACCCCAGGGGAGGGCTGGGGCTGGAGTGGGGGGGGGGCCAGGTGCTCCCATACCATGGCACAAGCCTGTGTGCTCTGAGGTCTTATTTCCCCGCCTGGTTTTCCCTCCCCTGGGTGACTCAACTCCAGCTAATCCCCCTCTCCTGTTCGGGGCTTTATCTAGGACACGGCGCTACTCAGAGGCGGTGAAGGCGAGCTGGCTCATGCGGTGGTGGCTGGGGAGTCCCTGAGACTGCACTGCAGGAAGGGGACGGGGGACAGGGGATGGGGGACAAGACTCAGCCTATCCTGCCCCATCCGGCTCTGCGTGCCAAGCGCCCATTGCGCCAGCAGGAGAGCCGGAGCAGCCAGACTTACATAAGTGCCCAGACCCTGCCCTCCCTGCCCCTTGCCTCTGCTGTCCCCGCAGCCAGAGATCTGCCCCAGCACTGTGGCTCGGGGGACAGCCAAGCTCAGTCTGGTGACACCGCCCAGGGGCTAGCGTGGCTAGGAGCCCCTTCCTTGCAGTGGGTAGGCTGGGGCACAGGGACTTGGCCAAGGTCACCGCAGGGGCAGGGCTGGGAGGGGGACGCAGGTGTCCTGACACGTGCTTTCACCTGCTCCCTGCCCCTCCTGCAGGACACTGGGGCACCCCGGCCCCACCGCCAGCCGGGACAGGCACCCACCCCAGGCACCCCATCCTCCGGCAAGGGGGATGCCAAGGGGTACCCCGCGCTCCCCGACAAGGCCAGCGGCCGCCCCCCTCCCCGCGCCCCCTTCTCTGCCCCCACGCCGGAGGGCAGGGGACCGCGGGCAGCCGCGGGGCTCGTACCTTGGTCTTGTTGAGGACGAGCCCGACGAAGGTGGAGACCAGCAGGGACCCTGGCATGGAGGCGCGGGGACGCAGGTCCTTGTGAAGGTCGGGGAGCGCGGGGGGCTCCTCGGGCAGCGTCACCGTGTAGGAGTCCCTCATGGTGGCCCTCGCGGGCGCAGCGAGCCGGCGAGGGCCAGCGGCGGGTAGGCGGCTGCCGGGGGGTGCCGGGTGGGCACCCCTCGCCTGGGGCCAGCTGCGGCCGGGGGCAGGGGGTCAGGCGCTCGGAGCACCGCCGTGCGGTGCCGGAGCCGGTGCCGGCTCTGGGGCTGACGGCACCTGAGCGGCTCTGACATCAAATGGGTGGAGAGGCGGCAGCCGGGCTCCGTGACGGCCGGCCCCCGCCGCACCGCGTGGTACAGCCGAGCGGTGAGCCAAGGGGGGCCCGCGAGGGGCGGCGCTGCCCGGGGGGGCCACGCTGCCGGCACGACGGGCCGCGGCGGCGGGGCCTCCGGGGGCGGGCGCGGCCAGCGCGGCCCCGTCCTCGCTCCGCCCGCCGGCAGCGGGGGGCTCCCCGCCCGGGGGGGCGGGGGGGGGCCGTCCCCCGACACCCGCGCCACGCTGCGGGGGCAACAGGGCACTTCGTGCCTGCCTGCCGCCCCGGGCGCCCGCCGGACCGCCGGCCTGCCCCAGCCGAGGGTCGCTCGCCAGAACTGGGGCGCTCCCGCCGCAAGTGGGTGCGAGGGGTGCCTGGACGCAGAGAGGGGCTGAGGGCTGTCTGAGAGGGTTGGGGGGCTCCTGGGCTCGTTGCCTTCCCTGCAGGGCCCGTGCTGGTCTCCTGGGCAATGCCATTCTGGGGGAACTGAGCAACAGCAGACAGTGCATAGCCCCTTCTTTGGGGGATGCATTGGCACTGAGCTCAGAGGGTATTTCAGTGCCTTGCTTCCTTTGCTGGGGAAAAAGGCCCCCCCTAAATCCCGTGTGGAGCAAAGACCTCGTGAAGTGTCTGCCCTCTGAGAGCTGGGTAAACTGAGGCACAGAGCCGGCAGGGCTCTGGCTCTTCTGCAGCAAGGGCAGATGTGGAGGCTGGCAAGGAGCCTGGCTGTCCTGTGTCTCCCGCTGTTTCACCCCTGTGACCGCAGCAGGGCGAGAGACAGAGGCTGTGCGTGCCCAAGTGTCTTACCCGCCAGCTCAGGGAAATTTCCATGGGTGCCCAAGGCAGGGAGTGCAGTTAGGCTGCTCCGAGGACCGCCAGAACCTCTAGCCTCGCCAAGGGGACTGGAGACACCGATCAGAGGTTGCTTTCCTCTCATGCCAGCCCCCGCCAATACACCCCCACCCACAGCCAGTGGCTGCTGTTTGAATCCTAATTGCTGCAGATGCAGACTCCACTGTCCGCGGCGCACGCTCGGCACAGCCAGTGGAGGGGCTGATGGGGGGGGGGGGGGGAGGGAGACAGACTATTTTTGGCACCAGCAAAAATATCTGAGGAGGCATCTTGCAGCGTTATTCATCTGCAGGGCCAGGGCTTTTTGCATCACAGCAGGATGTTTGTCGTAATCCCCGCTTGCATGTGCGCGCATGTGTATATATATATACACCCCGTGGTGTGTACACCATACACACACAGGGACACAGTGTGCACACGGGTGCACACCCCAGCAGCCTCACGCAGATGGCGTGGGTGCCCTGCAACGTGCTCCCGCAGCCTCTGCAGGTCACACCCGGGGCCCTGGGGCCATGGCACAGCTCCCCAGTGCGTGTATGAGCGCTGCGCAGGGGCACCCACCACCCTGCCCTGCAGCCCAGTGGGTGGCCTGGGGGCAGGATTTGCCTGGTGCACAGCTTGCCCCAAGCACTGTGCAGGGTGCTGGTGCAGCACTCTCCCTGGGGATGCCCTGTGCTGGCAGAGCCAGTTTCACAGCAAAAGGGGAGGCGTTCGGCCACATCCTGTGCCGAACCTCATGCCCTGGTGACATGGAGTGCCCTGGGCCAAGGACCAAGTTCCCCTCCAGCCAGAGCAGCACGCAGGCTCTCAGGGCAAGGCTGAAGCAGGAAAGAGAAGGGGAGACCCAGCAGGATGGCATCACTCAGAGCCAGCTCCCTGCCCTCAGCTGTCCCCTCTGCAGCGGTGACCTTCTGCCATGGGCAGAGGTTGCCACAGGCCTGGTTGGCACCATGAAGGCAGGCAGGGCCAGGACTGGCTGCAGGCCAGAGACGTCAGCTGCTCAGGATGGGACTGTGGAGAGCTGCCGGTGATTTTGTGGGTGGCTCTGGCCTTCTGACCCTATGTTCACCCAGGGTGGTTAATGGGGCGGCACAGCTCCAGTCCTGCCCCCCACCAGACTGCCCTTCCCGGGACCCAGCACGGCCCTGGGCGGAGCTGGTGGCTCGGCAGGCATGGCCATTGGCTGCAGCTGGATTGCATCTCTTTTTGCCCTGCAGAACGGTAAACCGAGGCACAAAGTGAGGGTGTGGATAGAAAGAACTGTGGGCACCCCCGCCTCCTGGCTGCAGACTCCTCCAGATAGTGGTTTGTGTGGTGCAGAGGCAGGAGGCGGGGGGAGAAGAAGGGATGGGAGGAGGCACTGAGTTAGCCCCCCCATGCCCTGGCCCCGGCAGGAGCCGGTGCTGCTGCCGCTGCCCTGGAGGCTGTGTAATGGGGCAGAACCAATGGCAGCACTGGGGCTGCAACATGCACTTGTTTCTGGCACTTGGCACAAGCCCAGGTGCCCCAGTCTGTTTTACGATCGGTACATTTCCTTCCCGGCTTGGGAAAGTGAGGAAAAAAAGCACAGGAGTGGAAAATAGCAGGTGTGTCCATCAAAGCACCAAGGAAACCTAAGCCAGTGTCACTGATCCAGCCGCCCTGCTGCCCCGGCACAGGTGCCTGCCCCAGCACCCTGTGCCAGCAGCCAAGCCCTGCTCACCTTTGTCACCCGTCAGCCCTGGCTGGAAAGCCCCCACCTGCGCTCACATGCAGACCACAAGGCTGTGGTTTGGGAGTAACGCAGTCCCTGCTGCTCCGTGGCCAATCCCACCAGGCTGGTACCCACATCGGAGCAGTGTGTGGGCACCTGGGGGTGGGGACCCCTGACACCCAGTGGTGGTGAGGGCTTTAGCGAATGTCCGTGGCTGGTAGCAGCTGCTGGGTCCCCCCCTCGGTCCCCCCCCTCAGGACCTGGCGTGGGAGGGGGAGGCTGGAATTCCCTTCCACAGCACCCTCCTCCACTCACCCCCAGCCCCTCCAACCTGCTTCCTCGTCTCAAGGCTGGGGGCCAGGGGCCAGGCAGGTTACGCACAGGGGGTCCCACAGCAGGGCAGGGTACTGCTGGCGCTGCATGGGGTACAGCTTGGAGGGTGCTGGGGAAGGGGCAAGTGAAATGCTGGCAGCTGGCTGTGATGTCGCACCCCCTCCACTGCTCCTGCTACTGTGCCTGGGGGCTCAAGTGGGTGTTTAAAACCCAGGTGAGTGCCAGGGAGAGGGAAGAGAGGAGTCAGCCCTGCCAGAAATGGGATGGGCAGCTCCAGAGGGTCAGTGGGGAGATGTTTCCCACTGAGCCCCAGCTGCGGGCAGGTGCTGGACAGAAGTGGCTGTCTCTCCTCCCTACCCCATACCTCAGGCTGTGCCTCCCCAGGCCAAAGGCGTGGGCCAGACCTCCAGGCTGCTCCCACAGCCCTTTCCCCAGGCCCTGGGGCACAGGGAGGGACGTGGGACCACTGGCTGGGAAGGGAAAGAGTTTTCTCTCCTGCTCACAGGGAAGCAGAAAAGAAACCCCCAGACCTTATCCTCCCAGTTTGGTGGGTGACGGTGGGACAGAGCCACAGGAAAGCAAACGGCAGGTCAGACTGTGCCAGGGCACACCAGACTTCACCATGGGTGGATGAAGGCCGACTGGAAAGAGAGCAGGAGACAACGTGGGCAGAGCCTGACCAGCTCTTGGAAGGAAACCTGAGTGGAAAATTACCAGGCTGCTCCCCTGCGTGCCCGAGCCGGGCTGCGTGTGTGATGCCTGTTCCCAGCCCGGGCTGAGGCTCTGGGGATGGTGCAGCACCGATTGATACCTGCGGCACCAAGTGCCCGCCACCACACGTAACGCTGTACAGAGCAACCACTGCCATGGAGAAACTTCTGCTTCCCTGGCTGCCACAGCCCATGCTGGGCAGAGGGGCCCAAGATGGCAGCAACAGACCGTGCCAGGGATCAGGCATCACGGAGCACCAGTGAAAAACCTGACTGGCAGCTGGGTACCGAGTCACTGTGCTGGAGCCAGCACCAGCCAAACCAGCCTTCCCAGCTGGGTGTCTCCAGCAGGGTGAGTGCCCATCCCAGTCATGTCACCTTCTGTAACTGGGATGTGGCAGCAGGAAACCCTCTTTGGCCCCACACTGGGCTGGGGCTGGGGCCAGGAGGGAGCAGAGGGCAGGGGGTGTGGGCACAGTCAGCTGAGTGGGGACACGGTGCACACAGGTTTGCATGCACGGGGGGGTGTGTTTGCCCACATGTGCCATCACCTGCTGTCATGCACACATGTGGAAAGGTGCAGCACACACACTCCTGCCAGCACATGGGCACCCTTAGCTGCCAGGCTCCCACGGGGACCCCTGCGAGCTGTGCTCCCAGCACTTGGCTGACTCAGCAGCTCTGGACCAGGACTGCTGTGCCAGCAAGGGCAGCTCGAAGGGTCAGCAGCAGCCCTGCGTGGCACAGATGCAGAGACTGAGGCATGGAGCAATACACCGAGTTTCCCAGGATGAGCATGCAAGGTGCCTCAGGCTCCCTGGCTCAGCACAAGCGAGCATGGATCACACACCCCACCACAGCACAGCTTTGTCCCCCATCCCCAGAAGGTGCCACATACCGTGGGGTCCCGGGTGGGCATGTCGCGGTAGCCATCATTCCTGTTGCAAGGCTGGTTGATGCAGCGGGTGCCAGGGGGCGGCAAGGCAGAGCTGAGGGCAGCCTGTGAGGGGCTGAGAGGGCCCACAGGGAAACTGCCGTGGCTGCTTTTCCTCCCATAGCTCTCCAGGTAGCCACGGACGTAGTCGGAGCGTGCAGCAGCCTGGTAGAGACCCTGCAGGGCGCTGAGCTCCTGGCAGCCTCGAGTGCTGAGAGGGCCAGGGGTGGGTGCGTAGGCGCTGTCCGAGGCGTGCAGCCCTGAAAACTCCCGTGCCAGGTCCGAGTGACTGATGGATTTGTGACGGCTGAGAGGTGCTGTGGCGGGCAGGTAGCCCGGGGGGCTACTGGGGGGCCCTGTGAAGGTGTAGCATGCACCCCCAGTCAGCCCACCGCCGGGTGGCCGGGGTTGGGTGCGGATGTACGTGGGGCTCAGGCGGATGCTGGAGTCAGGGTACAGGGGCAGCCGGCTGCTGTCATAGCCACTGGTTGGGGACAGCCCTGCGTGGTGGTACCGGGGGGAGGCCAGGTAGCTTGATTTGAAGCCGATTTTGTCACTGTCTGCATAGGATGTGGCCAAGGTGGATCCATAGGAGGTGTAGGAGCTGTAGCCACTGGGCACCTTGCCGTAGGTGGTCTCGGCATAGCGGGATGAGTCAACGTACCGCTTCAGGGTGGAGGAGAGCTGGGACATGCTGGAGGCTGGGGATCAGTGGGCTCTCTTGGAGGCATTGACTGCAAGAGAAGAGCCCAGGGGTCAGGTTCCATGGGCCATGGTCAGCACAACTGGGCACCCACCACCTGCACCCACCCGGTAGCTCACTGGCTCCTGCCTTTCCTGAAGCCCAAGGCAACAGTGGGAACCCAGAGGATGAAGGGTGCAGTGCGGGCTGTGGGGTCCAGTTTGGCCATGGCTCCTGCCACCTGCCAGCCCTCCTGGAGAGCCTGGAACAGCAGGGTCCAGCTGGAACTGTCATCCATGTGCCTTCAGGCACCTCGTACCTCAGAAGGGAGGCCTGGGGCACAGCCAGAGGCACCCAGCATCCCAGCACACACAGTCACCAAAGCCAAGGGACTGCAGCAGTCCCTTGCCCTGCCCCAGCCCTGGCATCCCTGCCACACCGTCTCATAGCTGTCCCACTCTTGGGGCTGGAGAGGTGCCCCCAGTGCTCCTCCAGATGGGAGGCAGCTCCCTGGTTACAGTCATCATGCTTAAACCCAACTCTGGCTGAGATAGGCAGACAGGATGGACAGATCCAGCCCGCCCTGCACCTTCCCCTGATTATTCAGAGCAAGTGCCGAGGCTTGGCAGTGGGCTGGCATTTCTAGCTGGCTGCTAACACACACCATTTGTCTGAGAGGGAAACTGAGGCAAGGTCAGGAAGCCAACACAGGAGTCCTTGCCATCCATTCCTTCTCTCTGCTTGGTGCCTGGCACCAGTCAGTGGGTGAAGACCTTGGTGCAGGCACGAACCACCGAGGGGCCTTGGGGGACTGTGGGCACAGCCAAGGATCCCCTCGTTGCAGGGGCATGGCCACTCAAGCAGTCTGCCTGTCTCCCTTGCTGTGGCTGCGCCCTGCTAGCCTCTCCTCAGTTATTCAAGCTGACACGAGTCCTCCTGGTGAGGCGGCTGCTGTGCCCCTGCCAGCCAGGAATAGCCATCTTGTATGGGTGGTCGACAGCCCAGCACTCGGTCCCCACAGGGGAGCTGGTGGCTTCTGACCCGTGGCACCCACATGGGCCAGGAGAGGAGCATACAGGGGACAGGGACAGAGGCACCCAGAGCACACATGGAGCCAGCCCAGAGCCAGGACAGGGCAGCGTGGCAGCCAGCAGCCTCCAGCGCCTGCAAACACAGGCTGTCTGGACCCAGAGGAAAGTTTGCTCTTGGCACCCACGCTGGCAGGCTGATGGCTCGTCCCCTACCTGTCCTGGGGCTGTGGCTGGCACCGGAGTGGGCAGGACCCCAGCTGAGTTCCTCTGTCTTGGCGTTGCTGGTGCTTGGCTCCCCGTGTGCCTGGCGTCTCTTCCCTGGCAGGACAGTGGCTCATGTGGCTCCGAGTCTCCGGTCACCCGGGAGATGACCCTGATTCAAAGGCTTTTCCCAGCCCAGCCGGGGCGGGCTCTGGCCCGGCTCCAAGCCAAGAGGTGACGGAGATGGTGCCTGGCCCGGCCCTCACGCAGCCCCGGCAGCATGCATGGCGCATCCAGGACTGGGAACGGGCACTGGATCCCTGACAAGAGGAACCTCCAAAGCACTGCTCCCTGTCTGACCCTGGGAGGGGGCCCAGACTCCTGCTCAGAGCCCAGGAGTCGCTGGGCATGCCTGCCCGCAGTGGGATCCACTGCCCCGGGGAGCCGGCAGCACCCCTCTGCAAGTGTCACCCCAGGGATGGGAGCCACTCTGAGCCTACCTGCTGCAGCCGCACCATGCGTGCCCTGCATTTTCCATGGCAGGCAGCCAAAAGCTAGCCCCGTGAAACCGGAGTGGTGGAAGGGAGCTGTGCGTGGCAGGGACGAGCCCTTTTGGCTTCACAGACCCTGGGGCAGGGGGTGAGGTGGCTGCTGTATAAACTCCCCCAGCCACCCCTTCCCATCTAACCCCAGCATGGAAATGCCCCAGGACTGCTTTTAGAAGACAGTGGTGAGAAGCACCATCCAGCCACCACAGCCTCCTGGCCAACAGTCTGGCGTTCTGGCCAGCTGGCTGCATCCTGGCTGCATGCCGGTGTTATTGGCCAGGGAACAACCATCCCACAGTGGAGCGAAAACTATTTACAAGCAAGAGCAAGGTGGAGCACACAGACCTGTTTGGGAATGGAGGAGGCTCAGGGGTGAATAATCTGCTCCCAGGCAAGGACTCCACAGAACACCCAGCTCTTCCCGGCCGGGCTACAGCTGCCCTCACCAGCACTGGGAGGGCCCAAGAGTGGTTCTGCCAGCCGGGATTTGACACACACAGAGGGGAATTTTGCTCAGAGGGACATGGTACTCCAGCCAAGGGACTGGCACCTGCTACGGGTACCGGAGTGAGAGGGACAGAGCCCCTCTGCTCTCAGGGAGCACACGCCTGGCTGCCTGCCTTGCTGGGACACAGAGCAGCCTGGCACAGCGAACCTCTCTGGGCTGCCCCTGCTTCCTGTCCCCTCAGCCAGCAGAGATGATCTGGGCTTGGGACAGGCACCTCAGTGCCGGGACAACCCCATGCCGTCACCCACTGCCAGCAGTGCCCATGCCCTCCCACTGTGCCGTGCCACCACCAGCACAGCAGCGGCAGCAGCTGCCCGTGGGCATGCACAGGCTGCCTCTGCCCCCAGGAGAGCCGCCGGCATGGGAGCAGGAGGGGAGCAGGTACTTTCTGGCAGCAGGACAGGTCTCCACGGGACAGCACGTGCCCTGGGGATGCAGGGGAGCTGATGGAGGGGTGCGCGGCCCGGGAGGCGAACCTGCCCCAGACACAGCAGCTAACCCGTTGGCGCTGTGGGAAGAAAGGTCTTACCACCATCCGCTAGGACTGCCTGTGCTGCGGAGTCCCCGTGTCACATCAGAGCAGACCCCAGGGCTGCAGGACAGCAGAGCGTGCCAGGAGCCAGAGGAGTTGAGGGAGTGTGAGAAAACCCCGGTTCCTCCCATCGCTTCCTGGCCTGCCTGGCCCCTCCCTGTCCATAATAGCGCTGAGCTTTCCTGCTGCCTGTCAAAGCCCTGGGGCTGGCATGGCTGAGTCAGGCCTCCTGCACCCTCATCGTCCTCCCGAGGTGTCAGGGGAAGCTGAGGCACAGGAATGTCCGGTTCACCATCACGAGGCCAGGCAGCAGCCAGGGCCAGGGACCGGGGAGCCAGGGCACTGTGGGGCTGCTCGGGCTGTTGGGGAGTCCGGCCCTGGCTTCCAGTTCTGGCAGCCTTCCCGATGGGAAGCTCAGCCCAAAGCTGGGAGGCAAACCCTTCAGCCTGGAGGCAGAGGAGCAGAGACCCTGCTCCTTCTCCAGGCGCTGTCCTCTGCGGGAGCCCTCCCGCCCGCGGCCGGTGGCAGCTGTCCCCCTCGGTGGCTGCGGAGCCCCAGGGCGGGCTCAGCTTACACAGCACTGGCTCCATCCAAGGTGTTACGGCACAGCTGCTTCTCGCTTACGCAGGCTTGGAGCTGTGTGCCCTGTTCCCTGAGACACAATGTCCCAGCGTGGAGGTTACGTGGGAGCAACAGCAGAGACAGAGGGGAGACCCTGTGTGAAGCTCCTTGCCTGTTCCAGCCTTCAAGCGGTTTGGGGTAGAAGGGCTCTGTGTCCCTGACAGTGCTGGAGGGGTGGCACAGCCTCCTGTCCGTTCCCCGAGGGGGACAAGGCAAGGGATTCCTCTGGGTATATGTATTTCCCTCTAGGAAGGGTGGCCTGGAGCAGCCCTGGAGAGAATGTGCTGCTAAGTCTTTGCTCCCTACAAGGAATGGGAGTCACCAAGGCGTGTCCTTGGTCAGCAGACAGAGACCCCAGTGCTCCAGGGTGCTGTCTGCAGCCCTTCTTGTAGCCCTGCTCCAGCACTCAGGGATAAGCCACCCTGGCTCCAGCGCTGCCCCCCCACCACTCGCACACCCCAGGGCGATGGGACCTGACCAAAGTCACACGTGCAGCTGGGGCCAGCCTGGCCAGGGTCCTACCAGCCAGTAAGCCTGAGAACCCTCCAAACTCATGCCACATGTGCTGGCTGGGAGTCATCGCCCTGGACTTAACTCTGTGCTGCTGACACATACCCACCTGGCTGCAGTACCTGCTACTTGCCACTCCTAGGCCACCCCCCGCCCCCCCCCCGGCAGCAAAACCCCAAACCCACAGGGAACCTTGGTATAAGACCCCAAGGCATGTTATTGCTTTGAGGTCTGTGGGTAGAAGAAAGAAGGGACCCCAGGGAAGTGCCCGGGCACGTGGCTCTGCCCACACTGGGGGATAAGGAGGGTACTGGGGAGTGAGGCTTGTTGGCAGAGAGCTGCCAGGTTTTTGTGCATGAACTCCAAAGCTGCTCTCTGGAGATGTAGTGACTGCAAACCTCTCCCTCTGGGTTTTACCCAGCTGAAGGAAGAGGGGGGCAGTTTTGCCAGCGCCTCTGAGTCTCTGACGCCGCAGACTCCTCCCTAGGGCTGGTGTCCCTGTGGCACCCCCTCCACTTACCTGCATGCAGATCAGCAGGATGGGCGGCTGGTGACTGGTCAGGGGCACGAGGCCGGCACGGCGGTGGGCGAGCAGCTGGTCATGGAGGTGCCCGCGGGACTGAGCGCGGGGAGCTGATCCTGCCTCCTTGGGGTGCTTCCCCTGGGGCTGGAGGAGAGTGAGCGATGCGGAGGGGCCAGCAGCACCCGAGCTCTTTTCAGGGGACAGGCCACCCCGCAGCCCAGACCATCCACCATGCAGGGAGTGGACGCAATGGCTGGAGAGGGCCGAGCTGGAGGGCTGTGGGGCCGTGTAAAAACGCCACCGCAGAAATTCACGGCTCAGGTTACCGGCTAGATAAATATAGTGTCTTTATCTGACCTCACAGGGCGCTGAAATGCTCCTCTCGCATTCCAGCCTCGAGAAGGCTTAAAGGGGACGCAAACCCAAGGGGACTGGTGGCCCACAGCAAGGGGGTGCTGGGAGGGGAGGCTGCAGAGGCAGATGGGGCTGTGGGAATGTCGAAGGACTGAGGGTAAGTGTGGTGGGATGGTAGACTTGGGGAGGGAGATGGAGGTCCAGGAGTGAAAGGGTGGACAGAAGGTTAAGAGAGGGAGTGGAGCGGGACACAACTTTGTGTGTGGGTCAGGGAGGCAGAAAAAGGGGGTGCCCGTGGCTGCCAGTAAGGTCTGGAGCAGACCATCAAGGTGAGGAGGTAGTCTGGGTTTCACCCCCCTTGGGGCAAGCCACAGGGAGAAAAGTCTCCTAAACCTGCAGCAAAGGTGGTCATGGGGTACGGCAGTGTGGGCACAGGGGTACCCAGCCCTCATGGCTCCGTGGGGACACCGGGACACCCACCCAGACAGCTGATCCACCCAGGGCAGCCTTGAAGTACTCTAGCACCAGCCGGCCATGACTCAGCGAGCACCTGCTGAGGATAATTAGGAGGAATGCAATTATGGTGGCATTTTCCTCCCTCCTGCCTGGCTCCAGCCCTTAAACAGGGAGGGCCTTGTGACTGATGCATCTGAGCGTCACTCTGGGAGGCTGCTATGGGGTCACCAGCAGCGTTAGGGGGTGGCGGCAGGGCCCTGCTCCCAAACCTGAGGGCCAGCGTGTCCCATGGCCCCTGGCTCCCAGGATGGCATCTTTACCCAGGGCAGGGAGCAGAGCATGGCTACTGCAGCTGCTCTAGAAGATGTGGGGACCCTTGGCAGCCCCACTGGCAGCGAGCAGGCATAGGCACACAAGAAGGACCCTGGCGTGACAGGCATACTGCCCCGAGGCCAGGAGCTTTGGCACACGCGTGCACACCCAGCCCCACTCCCATACACACTCCCAGCCCTGGCAATTCCCTCCCTGGAGGATGGCTGGGCCAGGACCAGACCTGGGGTGCCCGCTCGTACGTACCTCGCTTTGCCTCCCTGTCGATGCGGTGGGCAGCCCTTGCCCTGAGCTCACAATGGGGTGAGGTGGGGGCCTCTGGGGTGGAGCAGAGGGATAGGAACAGGGATGAGGACAAAGGGCCTGGGTACAGGGTTCCATGCTCCAGGGGGGCAGTGGGAGGTCACCCTCATTGGGGAAGGCAAGTCTTGTCCCTGACTGCCTCTCTACCGCAGGGCTTGGGCTGCTGAAGGCCTGGGGGGGAGGCACTGTGCGGGCTACCTGGGAAGGGTGTCCTCCACAAGCTGGGAGGCTGAGGGCAGAGGCTGTCCCTGCCCTCACTGCAGGCTGGAGCCCAGCCCTGCCGCAGCCCCTCGCCCCACCGCCGCACACACAGGTGGCCGTGGCTCCAACACACAACCCAGGGTTTTATTGTGCAGACAGAGGAACACTCCTGGAGGACAGGGTTTTTTTGTTGTTGCTTTTCGTAGGGTTCTTTTTTTTTTTTTTTCCCCCCTTAACAATTTCTTTTACGATAAGCTGTGGAAACAACTACAAATGTTCACAAAAAAATGAGACTCAAGACGCATCTGCACTCTGCCGGCTGGGCTCTGCGCCTGCCCCGGCACTCACCAGCAAGCCCAGGGAGCTGGGCGCAGCCAGGCCTCAGCTAGGCACGGCCTCAGCAGCACTAGACAGCAAGCAAGCAGGCAGGAATGGGCAAGGAATGGGCACAGGGGTAGGAGGCAGCTCGCAGTGTCTGGAGAAGATCAAGGAGTGGGGAGCAGCTGCTGTGAATTGCTCTCAGCTGTGGTGGCACAGCCCAAGCTGCACAGGTAGCTCAGCAGGGCTGGGGTTCACCCCATGGACCCAGATGTTCCTGCCTGCATCTTCGTCTGCCTCCCTGCCTTCCCCTGTGTGCAGGTGCAGTAGGGAGGCCCCTCCGGTCTCTCTCCCTGGGAGCTGGGACGCTCCTTGCCAGGAGCTGCCGGGTTTCAGAGGGGCCAGGGAAGCAGCAGCCCACCAGCTCCTTGGGGTCCCCTGAGGCATCGGGGCAGGCCTGGGCTGTGCTTGGCATCCCTCTTCCAGCTTTCACTGACCCCTGGGAAGGTCCTGGCCTTACTGAGGCAGTGGCCTAGAGCTGGGCTGCCCTTTGGCCCTTTTCTGCTCTTAAATGGAGACAGGGAAATAGTGAAAGGGAGGAGGGAGAAGAGAGGGGGCACATGGGCTCCTCCCAGTGGCATGGTGGGACTGGAGGAAGACTGTGCTGGAGGAAGGCTGCTGAGCCTACCCAGAGCCAGGCACCGGGACATGCCATAAGGAAGGACTGGAGCCCCCAGATGTTCTCTTGGGGTAGACAGGGTGATGGTGCAGAGGAGTCCTTGGGGAGATCTTGGGGTCACACTCCCATAGGGGAGATCCTCCCCACCAGGCTGCCTGGATCCAGCTCTGGCGTCCTCGGGGAGGGGAGCAGGGCTGAAGGCAGGGCTGTGGCTAGCTCAGAGAGGCTCTGCTTGCCTCCACTGTGAGCGGGTGCTGGCAGCAATTCTCTCGTCACAGCTAAGGGCTGGTCCCCGGGGAGAGCAAGTGACGTCTCAGGCTTGGGCAGCCCAAAGGTACCAGATGATGTTTGGAGGAGGTCTCGCTTCCAGCTCAGCTGTTAAAAACAGATTAGGAAAAACTTGTTGCCAAAGCACTTTTGCAGGGAGCCCCCTCCCAGGGCCCCAAAAGAACCCTAAGGAAGCAGGGGCATTTGATGGGTGTCTCCTAGACCTGCTCCCCTCTCTCCTCCCAGCCTGGCTAGGCCTAGCATTGCCCCATGCCTCCCCTGCTCCGTCTCTTCCCTGCTTGCTCTGAGACAGCACTTGCCTCGTGCCCCCTTGCAATTGTTGCAGCTTGGGGTGACTCGGGGTGACTCAGGGTGACAGGAGCAGGCTGAGAAATCAATGAGTCACTTGGCTAGTGGGCAGGGTGGGTCGGGGACACCAGGGGCCCCATCTCCTCCAGGGGCTGTGGTCACAGCACCCAGCATGGGGACCCCTCTGCACGCTCTCGCATTGTTTCTCTCTTACCTGCCAATCCAGCTGTCATTCCCCAGTTGAGAACAGGCAAACCCCAAAAGTTAAAGGGACAGGAGAAGCAGGCTGTGCAGGGCTGAGGCTCCAGTGTTCCCAGCATGAGCAAACCAGCCAGCCCACCGAGCGGGGAGGTGCAATGGGAGAAGCAATGCTGCCTAGCAGAGCCACCATGCTTCGGAGCAGGGCATGTGTGCGTGTGATGGTGGGTCTCGGCACAGGACGGTGGTTAGCGTTAGATATACGGCTATATAGAGAGAACACAGAGAGAGGTTTCACTTGTTCCGAATGGTTCAGCTTCTCTTTCCAAGGGCTGCGTTCTGGCAGGGGAGGAGGGTTTGCTGGGGTACTCGGTGTGTGCGTGTGTGAGTGTGTGTGTCTGTGTGCTTTTCCTTTCACAGGGACACGAAGTCCACGGCTTGCAGGAGAGGCAGGGAAAGGAGAAGCAGCAGGAGCCACGAAGTGTTCTGGATCAAGAGGCTGAAGCCGGCACATTTCTCCAGTTTGTCTGTGAGGAGAGGGAATGGGGAGGGAGAGAAGAGCCACAATGAAATCCCTTGGGAACAGGGATCAGGCTGGGTGTTATAAGGGGTACTGGGACTCAGCTTCTTGCCTTTTCTCTGCCACAGAAATGCAGCAAGTCCCATCCCAGCCCCTTGCCTACTTCCCCTCCCACCTTGTGCCCATGTAGCCGCAAAACTTTTTGGGGCACAGAGAGTCTGGGAAGCGTAACCCTGCCTGTGGCTGTCTGAGGTGGCAGAGGGATGGGCACCAGGTAAGACAAAGGGCTCTGCAACTGGAGAACTGCTCCTGCAGGACATAAGTGTGGCAAATCCCCACTGCGCTCCCACTCTGGACCACATACCTCTTCAGTCCTTCACCAGCAGACTCATCCCCTCTGCTGAGGCTGACTATGAAGCATCACATACGGGATGGCACCCGGGCAATGCTCCCGAGGCAGGGCCCAAGAGAGTCAGGGGTAAGCAGTCTGAGATGGGGCAGAGTGAGGCCGTCTGTGGGGCTGACTGCTATGCTTGCAGTAGGAAGGGCATGTATGGGTTGGGAAGCACTTCCGAGGCTTGGGAAGGGTTTGGGGACACCAGAGGGGTTTGTGGTTTTCTCTGCTGACCCTGTCATGACAAGGAGCAGGTGGGAGGGAGGAACTGAGGCCAGACACTGCTGCCTGTCTCACCTTTGATGACAGTGATGTTCTTTATCTGGTTGCCAGTGTAGTCGTTGGTGGCCTTCAGCTCGCACATGTAGACACCCTCATCGCTGGTGGTGAAGCTCTGCAGGTAGAGGCACACCAGGTTCTTGTGCATGGTGACGTTGGCTCGGCTCCGGTAGACATTCTCGGAGACACTGATAGTGCTGTGGATGACGTGCTTCCTGTTGTCCTTGGTGATGCTGAACTCGTAGGTCAGGGGGTTGCTGGTTTTGTTCTCATAACGGCAGTCCACCCGGAGGCTCTGGCCCAGCAGGCAGGCACTCAGGTCCTTGATCATCTGGCAGTGGGCAGCCTGGAGGACTGGGAAAGGCAAGCAGGGGTTGGTCAGGGAGCAGCAAGCACTGGGGATGCCCATGCAGCCTCCTGGCCGTTGCCTGGCTGCTCCGGGCCGAGCTCGCTAGAACACAGGGAGGGGATGCGTGTCTGCCAGCTGTACCTGTCAGGATGACAGCGATGCCGATGGTGGGGTTCATCTTTCTGCTGAAAGGTGCCCGGCGGTGGCTGTCACTGAGAGGGGAGCCTGGGCAGGGGGAGAGAGAGGTGGTTAGCCAGGCCATTGCCCCGGCACGCAGATGTGGGCACTCGGTGGTGCAGACACAGGCACACGTGGCACAGGTGGACAGTCTGTCTCTTCTTACACAAATGATGCTCTACAGCCTGCTCATCATCACGTCTGATTCGCTGCACAGGGACCGTCTGGCCCTGTGCCAAACTAGGGAATCGGGCACTGTGTGTCTGGCCGGCAGCACCTTTCCATATCCCCAGGCAATGCCAGGCCATGCTCTCTTTTCTCCGTCTGGATCCCCCCCATCAGACATTAAATGAGCACGGCACAGACCTGCAGCTGCCTGCAGCAAGGCCTGCGTGTGCTGCCTTCCCCTCCTTCTGCCCCATACCCAGGCTGGGTGCCCAGTCAAGGAACAGGCAGGAAAAATCAGGATGCACCCCGCTGCCTGCACATCATGGCCAGAGGGCTGCAGCTCCAGGAGAGTGTGCTGCCAGGTGAGCGACCCTCCCTTGGCGCTGGCGGGCGCCAGGCTGGCCAGCTCTGCTGCGGCTCCAGCGGGTGATCTCAGCAAAGATGACTCATTGCGATGCAGTGAGGGAAAGGGGCCAAGAGCAGCGAGAAGGAGGGACACAGCAGCTGGACAGGGAGCCAAGACTGCCAAGGGATGGCACCACGTCTCCAGGGGCTGAGCTGAGTCTGCCTAGCCACAGGGTGGAAGGGTTTTGGGGTGGCAGAGTCCACCCTCTGGGTCTCTGGCCTGGTGCCTGTCTGTCTGGAGGCTGTCTTCTGGTCTGTGTGGATAAGGGGCCCACGGATGTGCCGTCAAAACCCCAGGGCTGCTGACAGTCCAATCCAGCTGAGAGGAATCAATTAAAGGTTTGCAGCCCAGCCAAACAGCCGCATGGGGAATCCAGCCGCAGACATGCGGAATGGAGGGAGAGGGTGGGGGAGCAGCAAAGCAGATGCTGGGGCTGAAGGACACTCCGAATGCCCTGCAGTCGGTCCTCTAGGCTGGGGATGTGGGGCCAGGTCCAAAAGGGGGAGGTGAATTACCACTCCTTTTGGACGCCAGGCTGGCAGAGGGGACAGCAGACCCCCAGTTTGCTCCCTCTGATCTTGGCTAAGCATCTGGGGAAGAGCTAGGAACTGCCTGCACTTCAGCCAGCTGGATTTTTGTTTTTAGCATTTTTTAGGTCTTTCATATAACATTGTAGGAGGAAATACCAAAACCATTTGCTCACTCTGAAGCTGTGAAAGATCTCTATGTCTGTAATCCCAAACCCTGGCCAGGAAGAAAAATTTCCCTCTGTTTGGTCTTGACAACCAAGTGGCTGCAAATGGGGGCAAAGGCATGATGGAGCGGACTACCCAAGTCTCCTCTGGGTTCCTAGAAACCGATCCCTGTGCTTTGCTTTGTCATTTTTCGGCTCCGACCCTCTCCTTTTAGAATGTCCTGGGACACTATCTAGGTCACAGACAGGCTTTCCTTCAGAAAATCAGTGCAAATAAGCTCCCAGAGAGGAGGGCTTCCTCCCATCTGTGTGCAAAAGCACTCAGATCTTCTAGGCTCTGGATTCATGAGCCCTTGGCTCCCTTGTACCCCTCCTCTCCCCCTGACAGCAGTGCCAGGAGCAGAGCTAGCCAGGTAACTCTCACTCCTGTGTGATCCCAGGGGCTTTGTGTAGGGACAGGACTCGAAAGGACGGCAGCATCGCTGCGACCCCCAGCTCTTGCAGAGCAAAGCTTTCCAGCAAGGTCTCTACCACCTGCTCAGGGACACGCCACGGTGGTACCTCTGTGCCCACCACCGTGACAAGCTAAGGGTGATAAATGGGCTGTGGGGGTGGCAGTGGGGTGGGTGGGGGTGTGAGAGAAGAAGAGGATGGGCCGGGAGAAACCAAGACCGCGGGGAGCTGGCTGCGCTCGGGGGTGCCTGCCAGCAAAAGGGAGGTGCCGGGGGGCTCCCGGGCGCGCAGCGCCTGCGTGTGTGGGGGCGAGTGGGGAAGGGCGAGGCGGCGGGCAGGAGGGGTCGGGGCGCCAGCGGCTCCCCCCGCCCGTGCAGGGAGCGGGCACGCGTGTGGCAGGCGTGCCCACGGAAAATTGCCGCAGTCCCGATGCTGGGGCGGGGGGGGGAACGGGGCGGGGAGGGGAGCACCGGTACCGCTGCGAAAAAACCGAGCGCGTCTCCCTCGGTGTCGGCCGCCCTCCGCAGCCAGCCTCTCCCCGGCGGTCTGGGGCGGGCAGAGCATCCCGCCGCGGGGCACCACCCGGGTGGCGGCGAGGGGCTCCCCCGGCGCCCTCCCTCCCTCCCTCCCTCCCTCCCTGGAGCCGGCGGGAGCCCTTCCCGCGGGGGTCGTGCCGCCGCCCGGAGCGGGGCAGGGCGGCGGTGGGGCCGTGCCTACCTGCCGGCGCTGTCCGGTGCTGGCCGCGCTGCCGCCCGCGGGGCTGCCCGGCGCTGTCCGGTGCTGCTGCCCGGCGGGGCTGTGGGCGGTGCGGTGCTCCCGCAGTTTGGGAAGGGCCGGGCGGGCGGCCCCAGCAAATCAGGGCCGGGCGGCGTCACGCAGGCTCGGCCCCCGGCCCTGCGGCGCGGGGGGGGGGGGGGGGGGCGTGGGGTGGGGATTTGGGGGGGGCTGTGTGTGGACGGGGACGTGGGGCGGGAGGGGGGAGGGCACTGCCTCTGCGGGCCTGATCCCCGCCCCGGCCCCGCGGGGCTCGGGCCAAGGCCGGGGGCGTCGGGCAGGGTGCGGGGGGGTCGGGGAGGAAAGAAGACCCTGGGGCGGGGGGCAAGGGGGTACCGCCGGAGTGGTCCCTCAGCCTGACCCGGCCGGGGCATGCACTGGTGCGGGGGTGTCCCGTTGGACCCCCTTCCCCCTCCTGTCCCTTCCCCCCCTCCCCACCCTACCCCCCCCCCCCCCCCCCCCCCCCCCCCCCCCCGCACTCCAGTTCCCCTCTTTCTCCTGACTTGAAAGGGTGGCAGATCCCCATTGCCATGGGAACATCACATTTTGCAGAAGAGCTGCCAATCCTCATCCTCCCCAGCAATGTGGGAGTCGTTTTGCTGCGAAAGAGGGGGGGCTTCGGAAGTGGAACGAAGAGGTTTGATGAGGAGGGAGGAGGCATTCCCCCTCCCCAAATGTATAGAGCTCAGGTAATCTACTGAGGCCAGCCTGAACCGAGTCAAAGACCCATGCAACACAGGTCACCTCCATGTGGGAAAGGGTGGCAGGAGCGGCAGGGGACAAAGCTGAACCTCTGTCTGTGATGCCACTGGCCACAAGCCGTAAGTTTTAGGCCCAGGGCTGGTGGCAATGAGGATGCAAACAAGGGCGTCTTCCACACAGGCTCCCATCACCGCATAGCTGGGAAGGGGCCAATCAGGGCTGCTTCTGCACAGGAAAAATGTCTTTGGACCCAGAAAGCAACCTGGTAAAGACCTCTTCCCTGCTCTTGGCGGAGCTGCTCTCTCCCTGGGAGTTTGGGTCCCAATGCCCACCAGGAAGGAGCAGAAGCATGCAGGATGGCCTGCCCTGTCCTCACCCCCTTGGCTGGGCTCTGCAAAAAGGGCTGGCACTGTGAAAGTTGATCTGAAAAGTCATATTCTGCTCCAGCAGAACCTGATCCCAGGTGACATTCGAGTGCTGAGGTTTTGCAAGCTGGCTGTGCAGCAGCAGGGTTTTGCTAATTCTACAAAATCTTGGCTCCAGCTTTTTGCTCACTACATGGGCTGCGGGCATGCAGCCCCAAATGGGGCTGGACACCCAGGCTGGCTGAGGGGCCTGTCATGCCCAGGGAGCGTGCAGCAGGGCTCCCGGTGTGCTGCCATGTGGAAGGCAAAGGCCTGACCCTATCTATTGTGGCAGCTGGGTATTAAACGGGCCCCGGATGTGGGGTCATGCACAGCTGCACGTGCACGGCAACAGAACTACACTGGTGACCCAGGATGGTACAGACTGACAGTGCTGGCTAAGGATGGGGTTAAAGGCATGGCAAACTGTCACAGAAAGCCGCCACTAACATGACTGGAAGCAGACTGATGCAAATGCAAACAGGCAAACACAAGAGGCATATTGCCATGTTGTCAGGGTGCAAAAAATGCAATCACGAGGTCTGCATCCAAACACAGCTGTGATGAGGGGCAGCACATGTAACTGTGCGCACACACACAACGATCCCTTTTACATCTAGCCCAACAAGCTGTGTCTCCACATCCCTACCCTCATGCCCAATTATGTGAGCATATGCAATCAGGGAATTCAAGCGCAAAGGCTTTTGCAGGCTTGCAGTTGCCCAAGTCCCATTGCAAGAGATTTCAGCTCCCTTTAAATTTCTGACTGGTGGTGCTGTGGAGGCAGGCATGATTGTGCAGTTTCTGGGCAGTGCTGGCAGTGAGCATCCTGCCTAAGTATTTGCAGGAGGCTTCTTGCAGAGGTTCTCCAACTGGAATGTCCCCTCACTGCAGATTGCAGTCTGGCTGCTATCCATAAACCAGAAAAAATCGGTCTCCAAGTCACACTTAATGCAGAGGCCTCCAAGAGTGGCCAAAGGAAAAGAAAAGGGTGGAAAGGAGAAAATCTGATAATGACAGACAGACAAATGGAGAAAGGGGCAGGCAGTGTTTGCAGTGGCAGGTGGCAGACAGACCGACATCCAAGCATAAACAGGGGCAAGGAGGTAGCCAAACACAGTTCAGCACAACAGTGCAGATACTAGCAGGCATGGGTCAATGCGGCAGGACAGACAGACAAGCAGCCAGAGGCAGAGCACAGACAGCTCTCCTAGGAGCTCAGCTCGGCCAAACTGTCCCTAATTCCTGTCTGGAGAGAAAGCCAGGGCATGTGCAGAGTCCTTCTGCTTCGCTGGAGTGTGTCGGGGGCATCACGGCTCCCGGTAGCTCAAGAACCATCCCCAGTAGCTGCAGGAGGCAGGTTGGGAGCAGAGGCACTGAGGGCGGACCATGACTCAGGTGTCTGGTGCTACTGCAGCAGTTAAAACCTAGCCTTGCCCCAAGGACATCCTGCTGCAGGGGACACCCTTCTTCTAGGAGAAAAGTGGGTGCACATCCTTCCCCAGAGGAGCATCTCTTCCCTGCCCTCAGCCTACCCCCAAACACAGAAAGAAGAGAGAGTGCCTATCCCTCTCCCTCCTGCTCATGAATCACTGCACAGCAGTACCCTCTGGGTCCTGCTCAAAACATGACAGCAGGATGCCCACGCAGCAGCTGGTCCCTATCATCAACCATTTGTTCCCCCACTGCTAATTGATGGGGAGGAGAGACATGAGATCCCATCCAACCGGACCTTGGGACAGCACTCCTGGGGAGAGACACCTGACATCCTCTCCAAGGCCATTAGAGCTGGGGAGTTACGGGATGGAGGAGTAAGGGAGGGCATCCGAGAATCAGTGCTATTGATCTGGCAAATCTGGCAGAGATTGCAGCTCTAGGCTTGACTGATGGGAATGCTCACCTGCCTAGCAGCACAGTGCCTGCCCCTGCATGTCCTCTCTCTGCCTGGCAGGCTGGCCAGGCCCCAGAGCTCCAGTTGACAAGAGGGCTGCAAAGGATTTGTGCTTCTCACTGCACTAAGCCAAACCAAGGCCCTTCCCACCCCATCTTGGAGGGACAAGAAAGGGAGGCTGCAGAAGAGCTTTGCCCTTGACGGGAGAGACAGAATGGCCCCTGGGAGCCCAGCGAGGCCCCAAGGATGCTATATGTAGCATGGCCCAGATATGCCGCCGCTGGGCTTTGTGGCACTGCTGCACAGAGCAGGGGTAGAGGAGACTGTGCTCCCCTCCTTCCTGCATGCAGCACACAGCCACAGAAAACAGGGGCAGGCAGGGTTCCTGCTGCAACACTGGCCTGGGATCTGCTGTGCTTCAAGCAGACACAGTAGTCTAGCAAAGGAGGTGGCTGGCTGGCAGAAAGCCCCAGGTCTGCCAGGGTGGTTTGCCTGCAGTGCGCAGGGCTCCTCCTTGGTAGCCTCTGCCTGTTTTATGGCTGCATCCTGGGTACAGAGAAGCCCCAGAGACGGAAGACCTCAGTCTAACAGACAGTGATCCAGGCCTGGAAAGTGCCTGTGAGCAACCAGCTCCAGTCCCTGCACTAACAACCCTGCCAACAGGAATATCCCTCCCCTCCTTCCTGTTTGCCTGCATGCTCTGGCTAGCAGAAAGTCCTGGCTCTGTGCTCATGCCCAGCCGTGCAAGACTGCCCCAGAGTGGGGATGGTGACCCCTCCTACCAGTTGTGGTGGCTTGTCTTGAAGGGAGGCTTCTCTGGGAGGCTGCCAGCAGCGAGTGTTCACTATGGCGCAGGATGCCCCCTAGTAAATCCCTGCTTCATCTGGCACTGCTGCATTTCCACCCTACTGGGATCTGGGAGCCACCAGGCAAGATCCCAGCAGTGCAGCTCTCCTGCCCAACCAGAGCGGAGCAACTCTCCTTGCAGTCTGGTGTCCAGCTGAAGGACTGCGTGACCATCTCTGCTTCTAGCCCTTCCTGCCTAGAGCCACTAAAATCTTCTGGCAGGAGACTTGGAAATACTTGGGTGAGCCAGCCAGGAAACTAGAAGCCAACTCAGCCTGGAAGAGAGGGTTGACTGAGGCACAGAGCTCTCATCTTTCTCCATCTGCTCCCCAGATTGAGTGGGAGCGGTGCTTGGCTGCCTGCTCCAGCCTCCTCCTCACTGCCTCCCGTTGCAGCCAGTGATGCATCCTGCTGGCGCCTGGCAGGGGCTAATTTTTTTCCCACACAGCTGCTGGGATGGGAACGCTGCTTTCTGCACCACGCCCTGCAAAACTGATCTCTGCCGAGCTCAGAGGGAGACTTGTCCCTGGGGAAAGGACAAACATCTCTGCCAACAGAATCAGGCAGGTTTGGCAGATAGCTTCTATCTCAGTTTGCATATCTGTGTCTCTTACCTGTGGCGTGAGTGGCAAGAGGGCCTGTATTCAACCTCTTCACAAGGGTGCCACATCCCACAGGCTCTTCGTATGAGAGTTAACATGGTCAGAGAGCTGGAACCAAGGAAAGATGACACTTCAGATGGTGAAACTTTCCTCCTCCACCTGCTGAACACCTTACCCTGTGACACACCGTCACTGCCCACACCCCCTTAAAATGGCAATCAAGGAGAGTACCTATGGGGGCTGATGCCAGGTTGTGCAATGTTAGAAGCCCCGGACAGGAGGCTGATTCCCAGAACGACTTGAAACCTGTTTGTTTTGGGGACATTTACCAGTGTGGGAAAGGAGGTGCTCCTGGAGGCCTCCTAGGAAAATGCTGGAGAGAGAAAGGGGTGCAGAGCACAGCACTGCTTCTGCTCCCCATCCCCAGCCTAGCTTTCTCCTTTCTGTCTCAGGAGAGATGAGTAATGCAAGCTACAGAAAATGGAAATAGCTTCCCTGAATTTTCTCCTCCTACCTGCTGGGCCTTAAGGAACAGAAACTTTATTAGCATTCCTTATTTATGAAGAAACCATCGGGCCAGGGCAGTTAACTCTCACCACACAGGTTCCTGTGGAGAGTTCCAGA